ATATATTCAAAGTCAGAACATTCAAAATGCATGTAACAAATGGCACAATACATGTCCCAAATAACCTTAACAATTACTTTCTTTACATAATAAAGATGAATATGGAGAGTTTGACACTTCAAATCTTGGACAATTTGACAAAAATGATCAATAGTTGTGTCGATTAGGGTTATGCAAACATAATATACTAATAGAATTAGAATAATTATTAATTTATTATTAATGTTGTAAGTATAAACATACTAGAAACACATTCTTCTTTTGGACTCGCCCTCTATCATTGATTAAAATTTATTAGAAATTACAGAAAAAGTGACTCACATCTAATTCAATGATTTTCTCATTTGAATAGTTTTGAATAATTTTTAATCATTAAGACAGTGCGAGAAAAATTGAATTCCTAGCACTCTTCTTATATGTATATTGACTTAGGTTGAATTAATTGGGTTTCAAAATCATTAACCCAACACATCCCAATTATAATTTCATTGGATCATCCAAAATAAACCTAGATCAACCAATGACGCAACCCAACCCATATTATGTTAATGAGTTGATTGGAATCACAGGTTGACACCTCTAATTTATTACATGATGTTAAACTTTTAAATATATTTTGACATGAATTTATATAATCGAGTGGATAACTGGTACCTTTTTGGCACAGGAACTGATTGCTATAGCATATGCCAATGGGGCCACAGCCAAGGCACAAGGTGATGCTGCCACCATAAGCCCTAACGCTCTGTAAATTGAACCTCTGCAAGCTACATTAACCAGACACTAAATAAGATGAAATACGGAAGTTACATCATATATAGATATGCATCAACATATTTTTTGGACACTAAATCCTTTTAACAAAAAGGATAGCAGAAAACATGGGAATTGAGAACTTTATAAATTCGAGATAGTTACTATAGCATAACATCAATAAATAGGAGACTTTAGTACGACTTGTTAAACAATGTCACATATCTTGCCCAAGTGCATCGAAGACAAATAAACAAGGGTTACACCCATAATTAAGATGGTTCTGAAGTTGAAGGGAGGATTGCATGTGTATGAAATGAGGAACTAAGTGGGAAAGGTAATTGGAGTGCCTATCCTCACAACAGAGAAAGATACAAAAGAAGTTGCTAACAACCTGAGTAGCTAGCACAATATCAATTAGAAGGAAAAAGGGGAGTAAATAAGTCAGTTACTAAGGTAGAATAAATCTGAGGAAGAAGATTGAGAAGTTGTAGAAATGAATTGAAAAATGGTGAGGTTTTGGGAAGCAGTGAGATATTTTGTGCATTTGCAGAATCTCTCTAGTAATTTTTACATTTCTTTTCCTGCTCTTCCTTTGTGATTTTAGTAAGCAAAGGCTACCTTTGCCTGTAATGTAATTTGTAGGCAGCTTGATCATTGCTACTTTAATTCCAATTTCTACGAAATGATTATTGAAGGAAAGGAGTGAATTGCATACTAACTCCCACACAAAAGAAAAAGTGACAACAGGAAAAAAAATAATCAGTAATCAAATTTTTAAATTTATTAACTATATCAATCAATGCAACTATAGTAAAAAAATTCAAAAATTACCAGATGTACTAATGAACGGCCACTTAAATAGAAGTGGTCCAATAACAGCAATTGCAATGGATAGCACCACAACAACTTGGCTATATCGTTCACCAAATTCATCCAGCCACCTTTGAAGTTTAGGTTTATTTGACTGTGCTTCTTCAGTCAACTGAACAATTTTGCTGAGAGTCGATTCCTTCCAAGTTTTTGTTACCTGCAATCAATTTTTTTGTATTATAAGGTTAGTTTCCAACAAAAACCCACTTAGAAGTTTAAGTGTTGAACAAATGCAAACTATTACAGAAACACTAGTACCACAATATCTAGTAACTTGTCCATATATATCTGTGAGAATGACTCATTGCCTTAATTTTCAATCCCCATAAATGGAAAAACTAGGTAATGACATGTGATACCTGTAATTAATTACTTTCAGAATGTGGATTTTGCCTTAAATCATCCCCACAAAACCAACAAACATGATGGTTATCCCCCACTTACATGCTTTTTTTGTTTTATCTATAGTCAGTAAGAGGCTTGGATTATTTTTCCAATACTACCAATATTATTACCACTTTTCCCAATGTAAAATATAAACACAACACTTTGAAATTTAGTAGAATATACAAAAATTGCTGAAATCCCTAGAGATTGATGTACAGTTCAACATACCTTCAAAATTATCCTCCCATCCAAGTTCCTTGCACCACCAGGAATTCTGTCTCCAACTTTGGCTTCCAAAGGTTTCACTTCCCCTGTCAAGTGCTCGATGGTAATTGTGGCACTGCCTTGGAATACTTCACAATCTACTGGTACAGACTAATCACAACACCATCCCCATTATACTTCAACAATAATCTGCTGTCTAAAATTTGAAATTACAAATCGTGCATGTATGAGTTTGTATGAGTTTGTGTGAGTCTGTGTTGTTTATTAGAAAATACTTAAGGTTTGACTAAAACTAATTATTTTTCCTTATGCTCTTTCAGGGGGAGGAAAGGGAAACGTGAAAAATCATCATTGAAAGGAGACAGAGAAAATGAGACCAGGAATGCTCTTTAAACGATGAAAGATACAGAGGCATTTTGAATTTTTTTAATACAAAATAATATTGCAAGGGAATTGACTGAAAACAACTACTGAAGAAAGTGAGAAGATTATAAGCCAATCGTTCCAAACAAGTTTTCAACATTTGATCCGTAACATTTTCAGCACCCAGTGACATACTTTGTTACAGAAGAGTCGGGTGTACTCTGGATCAATTAAGCTGCAAAATAAGTTTGGTAGTATGAATATTTTTCACACTATTAGGAATTATTCTAAGGACATTATAAAAAGAATTGAAATCACGATTTATTTATTATAAATATTAATTCATTATGCAGCAAGGTAACAAACCATATATGCAAAGGTTAACTATATCCAAATCACCAAGAATTATTGTGAACATCAGTAAATGATTACAGTAAAAAATGGTTATCCAGTTAAAAACATCAAAACAATCACAAGACATCAATCACTATTTAACCTCCTTCTAAACTATGAAGAAGACCAAAGTTCCACTGTACGCATTCAAACTTCAAAATTATGACGAGGCAACAAATTAAAAAAATAAATAAAAAATTACCTCGCCGGCTCCAACCAGAATATATGATCCTACAGTTACATCATGCACGGGAATCCTCTTGTATGCCAAGTCAAATGTATTGGGGAGTTTATCATCCTTGGTATCCAGAACAAGGGCAAAATCTGGATTATTTTCTTTCAACTCTCTGACATCAACCATCGATCGGCTAGTGAAATACTCTTCCGCTGCAGGATCCATCACACAGGCTATTCAAACTTCTTGCAGAACATGAAACTTGAACCTCTTACTGAAACAAAATTTAGCTCACCTATATGCGCCAGATTAAACATGGCAAGTAGCAAGCCTCCTTCCAAAGAGTTTCCCATAAATATCGATGCAAAGGCCGCCATTGCCATTAACACATGGATGTTCACTTTTCCACTACTGATCTCAATAAGAGCATCGAGTGATGCAGAAACCTGATAGGAACACACATGCAGAGAGTAAAAATAGTCTAGGAATAGAGGGAAAATGAGAAGGAAGGGGGGGAGGGCAGAGATTGATTCGTACCCCAACCAAAGGGAATGCGATGAAAATGAGAGAGTTTTGAAAAGGCCTGACGAGTGGCTTGGGCAAGGTATGAGGGCAAATGGCAGCAGCCACAAATAAAGCGGTGGAGAAACAGCACAGATGCAAGTGCTCTCTCAGGATATCTGCCAGGTCCATCCATCTGGTAGCTTTGGCGAACGCGATAACCGCCTTTTGGGGCCCGGTGAGATTAGCAGCATCGATGCCGTGCGAGTGGTGATGGTGGTGGTGGTGGTGGTGACCATGATGGTCGTGATGGTGGTGATGACCGTGATGGTCGTGATGGTCGTGGTGGTGGCTGTTGTGGTGATTGTCGGAGGATTCAGCGACGCAGCGAAGCCTGTGACGAGGGAGAATGAAAAATTTGGGGGAATATAAAGGTTTGGCTGAAAATCGGGTAGGGCGAAAAGGGAGCCTGGAGGATCGAATTCGTGAAGCACCGGTGTAAATATGAAGGGAGTGCAATTTGGTGGAGGGGATCGAGTAAGGAAGCGTTTCCATCTTGAGATAGGAAATTCTAAGAGGAGCTTCCGACCATCATCAGAGTGTGCTGCGCTGGGAGGTGTGGCTTTGTCGTAGAGACTAATGATTCTAGTTCTGGTCTGGTCCTTCTTCACTCTGGGTCACTATAGAGTGAAATTGAAATGAACCATTCAGTTCGTCGTTATGCCATTCCCACCACATAATGTGCTCATTCCCAGACTTTGGTTACACTGCTAGTAGGGTCGTCTTGATTGGTAAATAGATTCACTTGCTTTAATTAGTTAATCGATGTCATTCTCATTCCATGATATAAAAAATAAAAAAAAAAAGACAATATGTTTTATCTATCCTTTAGATTTATATCCTCAAGTTTATATTTTATTTTTATGACAGAAATATCGTCGTGTTTAAAAAAAATTAATGATGACTAAAACAAATTCTAATCAAATAGCAAATCATCAAAAACCAAAATATTTTATCCTTAAAATAAAATTCCATTCATTGATAAATTTGAGCGTGAGCTAACCAAGTGAAATTCAAATGATACTTATTCATGGATAAAGAGAAACTTATTTTTTTCATCAAAATAAAATATTTTCAATCAACAACTTTTGTAAAACCAAAACCCGTGCTTCTGTACTTCTAATTAAAAATTATAAAAACAAGAAACAAACTAAGTCTTTTAGTTTAGTAATCATGACATGACATGATGATACATGATTGAATAACGGGGTAAACTATTTTTATGTCAGAGTATAACCTTTCTTGTCTTTCGTTTAACGTGATTAAAGAAACAGGGGGATAGCCCAACCAACTTCCAGGCCAGATACATGCATGCATGAGATCCTTCTCGGCTCATCCCTCCTCCCAGACCTCAAGAAGTAACATAAGAATAATATATACCTCAGCCACCAAGCGTTTTCATTGTATTTGTATAAACTTTAAAAATTAAAGAATGAATTAGTCAATATTCTTACAACAACAATTGAGTTTCTTCCCTAAATTTTTCAAGGGAAATATGATATTGTTTATAAGAATTAAGAATACAACATGATGACCACGGACTCAACGTTTCTTCTCATTCATCATTCACCTTTCCTTTTCCTTCAGAGACTTTGGTGCCCTCGTACGCTGAGAGAAAGAAAGTACTTTGATTTTTCTGCAAAAACCTGCAAAATGTTTATTTAACAAAAACCATCAGCAGCAAAACCTTCAAACACAACAATTTATAATAAACATTACCCTGTTTCGACTGACAGCAAAAGAAATACTTTCCCCAACGGAAAAGAGATCCAAAGTGAACCATGCCGCGAAAGTAGACATACTTAATTTATTAACTTAATCACCAAAAACATATATCGGTAAGCCAAGTGTAACTAAAAAATGAATTTCTTTTGATCTCTAGATGGAAATTAAATTCAATGTGTTTTACAACATGAGAATGTGATCAAAGTTATGAAGAGGTGATATATTAACAGTTAAATACATTAAAAAAATGTTTGAGTGTAACAATTGTGTCATTATTTCAGATTATATAATGCAGTTATGTATTGGAACACTTTGAAAAGTAATGAGATTCCATTGTAATAGTTTCTAATTTCCTAAATATAATGAATAAGCTGGGTTTCGGTTTTTACTTGAGAAAGTCGAGTAATTTCTGTTGCAAGCGATTCAATGTTTCCTCCTCAATAGTTACATAAGTCAAAAGCTCAGGTAACTTAACTGCAAACACAAGAGAAACAATACATATCGTTTTGCCAAGCTTATTATAAAAATCGATAAGATATGCTGAGCAAGGGTAACATTCAAATGCTATGCTCCTAATAGTACCTATATTCCACCATCGTAATGACTAGAAATACAAATACAAATATACATTAATGGAATTGAAACTCAACTAAACCCTTGCAACTAGGCAGGAAATATTAAATGACCAGAGAAGTCTACATTTTTACAGGCAAATAAAAAGTTAGGTAACTTAAAACATTAATGGAATCGAAACTTAAAATCATATTCTATCAACTAGAAATGAAACCTTAAATAGCAAAAAATGAAAAAATTTCAACTTTCATCACCCTCAAAATAAAAAAAATGAGGGAGAGGCATATATGTATAAAGAGAGGATTTGGGGGGGAGAGGGAGAATGAATAGTAATTGTCTATTAATTTAGCAGACCAAGAATAACCTATTCGAGACACTCAAGTTAAGAGAAAAATATAAGTGAGAATAAGAGTAGCGTGTCCCAAGACAATGCAAACATAGGGAATCCAAGAACACAACAATATCTTTTTTTTCAAATATAGTTAGAATCAGCAAAAAGTAATAATCATACCAAACAGGCGCAATAAATGCTCAGCTCCATAAATGGTTGAGGGAGATACATTATCCACAATAGCATCATTATATTGCTTGCGTTCTTTTTTGTACAAGAGCATCATAGGCAATGCTTTATCAAAATAACACCTTATTCCTTTCAAAATTTCTCCTATTGAATCGGGAGCCCTGTTAACACACAGCAAGAGTACATGGTTTCCTCGTTAGTATAAGGTGTCCCAAGCTTGCATCTAATAGAAACAACTAAATGTACGAGATGAATAAATAAAAAAACTGCCAAGCCGGAATAGAAAGGGAGGAAGGATATGAATTTTTAACTATCAACCAATTCTTACATGCCATCCTTCTTTGATTTGTATTCAAGGTACTTTGTCAGAATTTCATCAACAGTTGGTGAACGAGGAAGTTTTACAAGCTACAGGAACCAACAAAAGGAAATATTATGGAATGATTCACGCACTAAATGGACTATGATTTTTTAAGTGATGATTAAATAAGACAAAGTGTTAAACAGTCCATCTAGCATATTAGCATCAATACCAAAACAATACATTCAACAAACTTTGCAAGCCAAAAAAGAAAAACTCATTATATTGTTCATATGATAATGATACGATACTTATAGCACTCAGAAAAGCATGTAATGTATTGTATCATATTACTTCAACCGTGGAATCGAGTGCCATAATTATCTTTAATTTCCTCAGGAAATTAATAAATTAATAAGGCATAATATCAGAAGTTTATAGAACAAAGAAGATTGCATTCTGGGCAAAAGTGATATGATCATAGATGGGACAACAACGAAGAGTCTTAGGCTTACTTCTTTCTAAGCATATTATTCCCTATCAGAAAGTAAGGCCAAACAAATACGGGAAAATTTGAGAAGACACTCATGGTATCCACGAGTTGAGAAGACACCAGTGCTGGTGTCTATAAGATCATTGTCATGCAGTTCAGTTAAATCTCAATGTTAACTTCCAAATCAACTCTCGTTACTATACACCTTAATCCTCCTCTACAGTACACTTGGCACTTCAGAAGAGCCAACAACACCTTAAGATATAACGATATTATCAATAAGTTACTATTACTAAGTAAGACAAGTTTCATTGAACTCTTGTGTATACTACAGTCTGTCCTGTTTAGGAACCCAAAACTGATTATTGCTGAATGAAATGGAACAGATTACAGAAAATGGGAGAAAGAATTCTCTCTTTCTCTTCCAAGGGCTTATCCTTGTGAAAGGACTAAGACATTGCTTTCTCTTAAATTATAAAAGTCAGACGAATGACTCTGCCCTAACTAACCAACTAACACTAACCGCCCCCCTGAAACAGTCAGATGGCTTCAAAATGCTGTGCGACATTAAAACATGGCTCGAGGATTCAGGGGCTATGGAAACCTTAACCATAAACATGCGTAAATTCTAACTCTACAAATGTGCATATTCTTAGCAAATATGAGTGGACAACTACAAAGAGTGAATTTAATAGTTTTCCTTGTACCTTATCCTGCTGAGTCACAGAGTCCCAATCATCAACAAGTTGTTTCTTCAATGTTGCAGGAATTTGAATCTTGACAAGCTTTTCAACAGACCCGCTGCCCTTCTAAGAATTAGAAAACAATAATTAGGAGAATACCTTCAACTAGAAATAGTGGAAAAAAATTAGAAATTTCATAAACATTAAATCAAATGTCAAACAAACTCAGGTATTTTCATTTTTAAGGAAACAAGGAAAGATTCAAATCTTAATCTCTTCATCTTATTATTAGTTTTAGTTTCAATCTTACTCCTTTAAAACACCAGGTATTTATTATGGCATTTTGATTTTATCATATGAAACAAAAAGCAAGCCAACCAGTTAATTCATATATATGAATAGAAATTGAAAGCAAATGACAAATCTTTCAAGGTTAAAGAATAAAAAACATGTAAGGAGTGCAATTAAACAACAAAACAAACCAAACCTCAGCTCCAGCATCTTGCTTTCGTTTCTTCCCTTTAGACACTGCAAAGAGTTTGATGTACTAAACTTATCAGTACACACAAATTCTAATGTGCAAGAAAATATAACATTTTTTAAACTCAATAAATCGACAATCACATTGCATTCAACTGAGAAGAGGTCCAACTTTTAATTACTGCCATATGTTGGGCTTCATTGTAAAAGTAAATATATTGGGCTAGTGTGGGCCCAGCCAAGCCTAAATAAAAATGGGATGGCTGTAGGCAAAATTAGAAATTTCAAAAACAAAAAAAGGTAATGATTTGCTACATAAAAATGCAAAAAAGATACATGTGTGTGAAGCAAGCCAACACACATAAAAAAAAGGAAAGTGAAGGATAAAATTTAATGAATACCATTGTTCTTGACATCCTCTTTATCCACTTTGACATCTGCAGAATACAAAGCAAACGTAAAAACATCAGGCAAACAAAAATTAGTCAAAGTATACTCTTCCCAACATGCTACAGAAAAAAAGATTTGGTGCGTATTATGAAGTATTTAAAACAGGTGAAATTGGATTTCAATAACAGATGGTTGAATATCCTGTAACAACGTTGAAATGATATCATAAAAATGCGTGTGCTTATAGGAAGGTCCAGAGTTACTTTTGGTCAGAGGTAATACTCACTTTCTTTTCCTAAAAGTAGAATGTTAAAGGAAATCACACGTACTTTTTAATATTACCATTTATACAAACCTAATGAATTGTTTATATAGTAGAAATTTGCATCCAAAGCATCTCATAAGTCTAGATATTTTATCTTGACTCTTTTTCCTTTGAACAGTCTAAATATCCGTTTACCAATAGAAATCAACTATGTTCAAAATAAAATATTGATCAAAACTTTCATAGGTCCCTTTGCAGACCTCATCAGTCATTATTGATCACTCATTCAGAGTGTAAAAAAGGGGAAAAAAACACACAACAACTGAAATCATAAAATACAATAAATACACAGTCCAAATGTTCAAGTGAGCTACAAACGGAAACTCTTTAATATTTTCAATAATGAACTAGTGGACTTCAGATTCCCTTGCCAAAATAGATTCATTATGAACAAACTAGATAAGCAAAAAGCTTCAAGAAATCAGCATGGTAAATTATCACCATATGAAAGAGCATTGATTACCTGTAGACGGTTTGCCCTTTGCTTGTGTTGAACGCCCAGACTTAACATTCTTGTCCACATTTTGCTTTTTGTCTAGGGCCAACTGTTTCATTACATTCTCTTCTGTATGTTTCATTAATCGGTCCTCACCTACCCATTCATCCCAACTGTTGGAAATACCAATAATAATGATTCTTTGTAACCTTTTGCATGTAATAATAATAATTTATAGCAAATACTTATGGTAAAAACTATGAAGATGATTCTCTCCAAAATTAGTAGATTAACTATTACAAAATCCTTCCAACAAGTCGTAATCTACTTCCATTGCCATTTAAAATGAGAGCTTCACTCAAAAAATTTGCAAGTACTAACTCTGATTCTCACTTGATGCTTTTTTTCTTATGCAATCTTGAGTCACACCATGTACAAAATAAAAATTACAATATTTCATAACAAATTGTAATCTGAAAGGTTGCCTTCTCATGGAAAGGTTACCATTTGTACCTCGTTACATTAAATGAAACAAGTAAAAGATAAGAAACTCACTTTTTACTCCAGCCCTGCAAAAATAGTAAATGAAAAAACCAAAATCAGTAGCATATCCCATAATCACTTGAAATTTTCAAATGTATAACATTAAGTGAGATTCAGGGCCTCTAATCTTTCAGGCTAAAACTTTAATCAATTTGAAAAGTTAAATCAAGGAACACTCAAGAGATGAGGTAATCACTAGAAATTACTAAAGCCGTTACAGAATGCAGTAAATTAGGCTGCAGGGGAAGAAATATTATGGTTGAACTTACAAGGTAGTGAACAAAGTATTTCCATTCACTCTTTCTGATCTCAGTTTTTTGCACCTGACATAAATCAGGCAGTAGATTAGGTCACAATAACAAAAAGACGACGGGAAAGAACGGTATAAAAAGCACTCTGTCTGCAGTAAATTATCACAACTACAATAAAAAAAGGGAAAAGAACAGTAACACGCACTCGGCCTGAAGAGTGATTAACTGCTTTTACTGCGAAGCCTTACATTAGGCAAATGTAGCAACAAAAAGACTGATTGGAATAACCCTAACAATACTCTTAATTTAATAATGCTAGGAAAAAGTGGATATCACAACATGAAATCGATCACACCTTAGAAAATTACAAGCTATGCGATATAATCAACCATTCAAGTTTTATAGATTAATTAAAATGAACAAAAGAAAATTAGGGAAAATGGCGAGAAAGTGTAAAAAGACCTTTTAAAGTTTATCTTTAAAATATCAAGAAACACTGCTAAGTCACAATTCGGTCAAAGAAAGGAGAATTGGCTAACTTAACATACATAAACAAAACGATGACACGAAAAAACACTACCCAAATCCCTAGCACAAAAACCCCAGTGCGGAGTGGTTACTGAGCATTTAGAAGCGGCGAAGTTTGCCTTTGTGTCGGAAACCGTAAATATAAAATTCCAAAAGGAAAGAACAAAGAGAACTGGAAAAATCAATAAAAGAGAACCGTTGAAAAATAAAATTGAAGAAGGTAAGGGGACAGGTGAACGGTGCCTTGGCTTCGTAGATGCGAGGACCATGATAGGCGAGCACTTTCTCGCCCTCTGAGTAGACGCCGGAATTGGACGGCTGAACGTCGCCAGCGGAAGCGTCGGCAGAGGTGGCGGAATCGTCCTTGGACGAATTTCCCATGGTGGAGTTAGAGCGAAATGGAACTGGGCGGGAACGGGAAAGGACACGCTCTGAGTGAACAAAATAAAGTGCCTACCGAGTTGGGACCAATTTTTGGATTTTTCAATTTCTCCCTTTGTTTTATATATAAAATATTATAAATAAATATATAATACATAATGCACTAAGATATACAGTTGGCCATCGCTTCCTCTAATTCCATAATTACTAACTGCACTCCGTATCAGTATGCAAAGTCTAAAAAGTCCTTCACCACTGTATCATGGGTTGAGGCCCACTTCGCAATAGCTAATTTTTTGTTTTCCCTCTTTATTTATTCTTTTTGACATTTTATTCCTAAAGCTTTTTAATGGTATATAGCTTAATATTTTTAGTTCATTATTTATAGATCTTCCATTATGGTTTGGTAATTGTGATGTGGTCAATTTTTTATCTAAATGACAGTGTAAAGTTTTAATGGGTGATGTAAATTAATTGGAGTTAATTTTCTAACCTATCCAACTAAGTTCAACTCCATTATCTTTTGAGAGTTACTCCCTACACCATCACACATTGCTTCCTGCACCACCACACTTTTTTTAAATTCCAAAATTATCCTTCATATTCTAAAATATCCTACACCTCCTCCTTTTCTCTTGAACGGATGTCGACATCCGTTGAAGAAAAAATTCTTCAACGGATGTGCCACATCCGTTACGTTTAGTTTTCTTTTTTAAGTTTTTAGTTTTTTTAAGTTTTTATTTTCTTTAAGTTTTTTAATTATTTACTTTTTTTAAAAATTATTACTTAGTTATTTATAAATTAATTTTATTTTTTATAATAAAATAATTATTATTAATTTAATTTATGTATTATTATTTTAAATAATAATTAAAATACTTTTTAAAAATTTATTAAAACGCATTGAAGTTTTTTTCCTTTTAAAGTTTTTAGTTTTTTATTTTATTATATTTTAAATTAATATATAAATATTATTTAATTTTTTTAAAATTATTATTTAATTAATTATAAATTAATTTTATTTTATTTAATAAAATAATTATTATTAATTTAATTTATGTATTATTATTTAAATAATAATCATAGTTTTAAAAGTTTTATTAAAACGGATTAAATAATAATCATAGTTTTAAAAGTTTTATTAAAACGGATGTGGCAATCCGTTAACGGATGTCGCCACATCCGTTGAAGATTTTAAAAATTTATTAAATCGGGAAGTTTTTTCTTTTTAAATTTTCAGATTTTAATTTATTATATTTTAAATTAATATATAAATATTATTTAATTAATTTAAAATTATTAATTAATTATTTATGAATTAATTTTATTTTATTTAATAAAATAATTATTATTAATTTAAGTTATATATTATTATTTAAATAATAATCAAAGTAGTTTTAAAAGTTTTATTAAAACGGATGTGGCAATCCGTTAACGGATGTCGCCACATTCGTTGAAGATTTTTTTTTTTAAATAAAAACAATAAATTAAAATATAGGATTTGTGAATAGACGGATGTCAACATCCGTTGAAGGTAAAACGGATGTTGATATCCGTTTTAGAGAAGGACAAAATTGGTATGGAGTGGTGCAGGAAGCATTCGGTGGTGGTGGAGGGAGCAACTGCCTTATCTTTTTAGTGGTTGGATTCCAATTCATGTATCTAATTAAATTTAAGGTGCATAATATTTTTTTTAGTGTTAAACAAGATAAATTTATTTCTTGTAAACAAGACGGTTAGTTTTTAATCATTGTAAATTATTATTGTTAGTTTAAAACTTTTGTCATTTTTAATCGTCTTTTTATTGTTAATTATAGTTAATTATAGTTAATTTCATGTTAAAAATAAAAAATTAACATAATAAATTTAAGGAATAGTATTTTAAATTAAAAAGAGAAATCATAAACCCTAAACACATATCACATTCTAGCATTTTCTTTTTTATTTTTAAGTAATATCTTTTTAAATTTTAATTAAAAAATATATGATGTCAACGTATTAGTTTAATATTTATACAAATCATAAATTTAGTTCCAATTTATAAAGGGACAACATTGCTCCATATATAAAAAATATGTACTTGAATTAGGAATTAAATTGAATACATGATACTAATATATACCATAGATTTGACACTTGAAAAAAGAATATAAAAAATTAAGAAAATTTAATTATTTTAAAGAGAAATAAAAATAAAAAACAAAAAACAGAGATGTTGACACATCACATGTGTTTAATGTTGTTGGTAAGATACTAATTAAAATGAATTAATTGAGGTCATTTTTCAAAATTTAATTCAACAAAAATTCAAGTGGAGACAAATTTGAAACTTTTTAACTACTTGGAACGAACGAGTAATTAAGCTTTAATATAAATAAAATAAGTGTATTTATATTAAAATGTAAATAGTATACCATTATTAAATAAATAAAATTAAGTAAGAAAAATTATAAATTATTATTCTCTACTTCTAGTCGAACTGAAATGTGAAGATCATAGTTTTTATTAGATATAGGTTATTGTCTACTCTCATCCAAGTTGAAATGTGAAGATAGTAGCTTTTGTTAAACATTATCTACTCTTAACCGAACTAAAATGTGAAGATCCTAATTTTTATTAGACAAGTTAATGTTTGTACCTACTTAAAATTTTTGAAAATATAACTATTCTAAAAATTTATGAAGCTTTTATGATTTATTAACTTCACTATTTTTGTTTTTTTAGGATAAATAGGTAAAAATAAATTTATAAAAAAACTATATAATATATTATAAAAGAACGATTGTGGTAGTAAATTCATTTATCTTTCATAGCAATATGTAAAACCCATAATCTTTTTTTTTTCAAAAAGTTTCTCTTCTAGTTCCTCTTCACTTTCTTTAACCTATGTTCCTCTTCTTCTCATTTAGACAACAACAACCTAAGGGAGAAGAGCCCTCCCTTACAAAGTCTTTCCTAACCTCTTGTGTAACACTACTTTAAAATGAAAAAATCTTTATCTTTACCAAGTTATTTCAAAGAGTAAGTCTCCTTTCTAAGCTCTTTACTTGGATAAAAAATATTTCTTCATGCATGTGGAGTAGAGGGTGTACATGTGTTTCTAGTACATCTTCTAACTTTTCTTGGTTCTAGTGAATCTAACATACTCTTAGATTATGAACTTGAGTTCCACTTTGCATTGGTTTAGGGTTTTCGAAAAAATCTAGATGTAGGAGATCAAGAGGAACTTCTACCAAGGTGAGGAAATGTAATTCATTTTAGTTTTAGTAAATATGTGTTGCATGTTGTATTTTGATCCATGAAATTGCTTGAATTATGGTGGTGTGTAATTTTTGAACTATGAGTACTGAGATTATTAAGGCATAATTTTGTTATTTTTTTCGGGAAAGAGAAAATCTTGCTCAAGTGATCATAGCCTAGGATTTTAGCTTGCATTATGTCGAGTTGTCACTCAAGTAACTTCTTACTTAAGTGAGAAGAGGTTTCTCCTAAGCAATAGGCTTCTCGCTTAGGCGAAAAAGTCACAAGTGACAACTTGCATACCCAAACGAGAACCCCTTTCACCTAGGAAAAAATGCTCTAGAGGCTCATTTCATTTTTTGTAATAGTGTCTCTCAAATGATAGAATCTCACCTAAGCGACTCCTTGAGTTGTTATAATTCTTTATTTCTAATGTGATTAAATGTGATATTATGAATATGTGATGAAAGAGCTATATGTGATTGTTTTGTTATGAGGAATTGAGGTGTAATCATAATTATGATAAGGTGATGAGGTTACAAGTCTAAAATTGAATCAATGGAATGGTTAAAGTGGAATTGAATACTTGTATTGGGTCATGACTTATAAGGAAGAAGTACAGACCTCACTAATTTAGTGTTATGAGAGATATGTTTTAGCTAGAAGTTATCCTTATTCTACTAGGCTACAAACCCACATAAGGTGTCCTAGTCTAGATGGTGAGAGTTGAAGGAGTAAATACGGGTAATCTAGTCTAGATTTCATCTTTGTCAAACTTTGTAAATTGTTTTATGATAAAGACACTAATTTATATTATGTTGAATTTAAGTGCTATTAATAATTCTTGGATTGTTAGATTTTATGATATCCGGTTGTGTCATGGTACTATCACTAGGTATGTTAAATATATTCAACACTAAATTTAAAATAATAGTGAAGATCACCTTAATAGATTAAAGACTAAATTATATTTTAACATAGAGAACTATGGGATGTACATTCAATGAGATAAAAAAGAATGAATTAATTGAAAAATTTGTATGTAAATTAAATTAACTTATTAATCTTATCGTTTTTATTGATCTTTCAACTTAATAAAATGTTTAAAATAAATTATATTAATCTTATTTTTACATTTCTTCTCCGCGTGGAATTTAATTCTAGCGTGCGGGTTTGGTTTCCTTCTATTACGCCTTGAACCACGTCCATAGTCTGCACGTGGATGTGACTGGTGAGTTTGAACTTTGAAGACAGTTCCATACATCTTATCGCACCAAAACCTTATGCACTAGTGGTACAAGCAAAATGGTTGACAAATTTGAATGTAATAAATAATGGTACATGTGAATTGCATTACTCTGTTCTTACTTTACCACTGTCACTACGAAAATAACAACAATTTGAATTCTGAACTATAGTCCATCAACAGGAACATTACAATATTACAATATTACGATCCGAAGAATGAAGTGAAATGAAAAATTTAGACAGAAATTAAAGAAATGAAGGAATCAATTAACCTGAAACCTATTTTCCAACTAAAGGAATCTTTTTGAGAATTATCTGGCACGTAGTCCCTAAAACGGAGGGTGTGTGTGGAGCATGAAGATGTCAGTGTCCTTGGCCAGGGGTTGGACCGGAGTCTTTAATTCCACCGAGGGTGTCGCTGTTGGTAAATTTGTGACCCTCTCCTCCGGAGCTTGGACCCGAGTCCTTGATTCCACCAAGGGTGTTGCTATTTGTAAACTGATGACCCTTCCCTCCAGGACTAGGACCTGAGTCCTTAATCCCTCCAAGACCTAACCAATCGAAGAAACCCACCACTTGAACCGCTCCTCCAGTGGCGGAGTTTCCCGTCTCAATGATACTCAGAGGACGGGCTTCTAAGCCCATCAAAGCAGTGCTCACCAGTAAAACGAGAACTGCAAAGGCCCGAGTTTTCGTGATGCTTGTCATCTTTAATTTAGAAAAAAAAATGTAGAGTTGGTGTGTTTGTTGGGGAATCTGAGAGAGCGAGAGAAGAAGGGGAAAGTTGTGTTTGATAATTGTGTAGCATTGAGATGCAAGAAGTCCTTTATATAGAGGGGGAAGTTGTCGACTAAAATGAATCTAGCATGCAGAGTCAAATTGTGTACATGTTTTTTCTGCGGAGGAAGCAACCTACGTGGTTCCGAAAGATTATAAGTCAATTTGGAATATTGTAGATTTGGAGAAAGGCTTGCATCACTGCACACTTATGGAAGAAAATAGCACGAAAGAATTAGAAAATGGAATAATTCCGGGTCCAAGTTGTGTAAGTTAGTAAAAAAAACTCGTGTCACTAAGTTTTCCTTGGTGCCCACTGCTTTGGAGGTATGAGCTGCTTCAAGTCGAAGACCATGACCAGTAAGAAGTAGCCTAATACTTGAATTCAAACACCTCAAACCAAATAGCACGTTAGATTGCATATATTGAAATATATATAATGAAACATATATAACAAATTTAAGAAAATATAAAAAAGTGTTTTTTTTTTTGGTAAAAGAATTGAATTTGAGTCAGCAAAACAATTGAGTGTAGAAAGTGTAAGAAAAGAAAATGAATAAACATGCGTAAGAAAAGAGGGGAGAAGGTGAGGGCTGCGTTCGCAAATGTCGCACTGACCAGTCAAGACGTGATGTATAATAGTATACTACTACAGTGTTCGTGGATATTATTAATTAATAGATATCACTTTCAATTAATTATAATATCCACCATCAAGACTACACAAAATCACTTTCAAATAAAACCATTCTTTTTATCTAATGCTAAATAAATTTTGGTTGAAAATTTATTTAAAATAATTATAATTTTACTATATATATATAATGAATAAAATAACTTATTAGCCCAAATTATATTGAACTGTTACAATTTATTTCAGAATGAGCCAGGCAAAAATGGTCGAGCCGAAGTATATTGACCTTATAAGAGTCTAAAACATTTTAAACATGAAAAACGAAAAAAAATAAATGGGATAATTGGAATCATAAGGGATGTGAAATGAAGACTTGGAAAATCATTATTATTGTGTAGAATATTATACTATATATACTTTGGAAATATAAGATATTTTAAACTTATTATTTAAAAACACTATATGTAAAACCTTTAATGATTAATGTATTAAGTAGTTTTTCCATCAGCAATTTATACTCGAGTCTTATTCTCAAATTTTATTGGCACTCGTCAGGAATAAAAAAGTAGAATTAGATTTGGAATTTTAATTTTGCAACCTGATTCGTAACAATTCAAATATTAAATATTTAATTCCAAACCAATTTCATTTAAGTATAAGCAAAAATTTAAATAAAAATACTGAATAATAATTTCACTACGACCACCCAAATGAGTATTAGTATTAGAAAAATATGGATATTATTTCGAGTGTACTTGGAAGTATGAGTACCTTTCACTTATTATTACTATATAATTATGATAAAAACTATTACAGTATAATTGAAGTGCGCAAGTACATCATCTACATAAGGTGAAGGAAGTATAATAAAGTTACGGAAAGACAAGTGGACAGGGATTGAACCACTATTCCATAGGTTTCCTAAGATGTTTATGATATTTAATTGTAAAGAAAAAACTATATGGGAGCTAAGGAGATGGGTGGATAATATCTGGACATAAAATCTAACTCGGAGAAGAATAAGATTTTAATGGAAAACAGTTTAGGAGACATAATTTTAACTTTTACATGTTCAAAGACACATAAAAAGTTATTTAGTTACCAAGATGATCAAATTTCATCAATCAAGTCAGGGTATCATCATTTTTAATAAGTGATGGACCACTAAGATTATTCCTAAGTTTAGGATGATATGTAATTGTTGTTTGAATTGTGTATTAAGTATTGATATGTTGTAATAGAGATTTAATTTTTTTATCGGTGATGTAAGTCACATAAACTAATATATCAAATAATGAAAAATAGAATGAGGAAATTTCACAACCACAACTTATATAGATAATGAACTTATCTTATTACAATTTAGGTTTGTATATGTATTTATTTTCTAAATTCTATAATAAATTTATAATTCGTCCTTATTTTAAATTTTGATATAATTTAGTTTTTAAACTTAAAAATTAAATAAATATAATTTTTTTAACCTAAATGCGTTAAATTTTTTTTATATGACAAATAACGTTTCAGACTGAATGGTTTAGATAATTTGATATGGTTAAATTCAAATAATATCTTAAAACACCATTTAACCTGTAAAAAAGTTAACTTTAGTTAAAATGACTATAAGTTTAAAAATAAAAATATATTAAAATATAAGACAAAGTCAAAATTTCTATTTCAACCTTAGACCATTTCACAAAGAGTCGGTAAAAAATTGTTGAGCCCAAATATATTGACCTTAGAATCTAAAACATTTTAAACATGAAAAAACAAACACCTATCTTCACTACAGGATGGTAATCTGAATAAATGAAGCAATTGGATTGATAAGTAATGTGAAATGAATACTTGAAAAGTCATTATTGTTGGTAGAATATTATACTACACAGGAAATATAAAATATTTAAAAACAGTGTATTAAAACCTTTATTATTTATACATTAAGTAATTTTTTCATCTGCGATTAATAAAAAAAATATAATTAAACTCAGAATTTTAATTTTAGAACCTAAATTCATAACAATTCAAACATATAATTCCAAACCAATTTCAATTATAAGCAAAACTTTAAATAAAAATGCTGAATAAAAATTTCACTATAATCTTTCAAAGTATTATAGTATTAGAGAAATATGGATATCATTTATTTCGAGTATACCTGGAAGTATAAGGACCTTTCACAAATGATTATTATATGATTATATGATAAAATTATTACGGTATCTAGTAAGACATAATTCAAATTATACTAGTTATTTTCATTTGTATACTAGTTATTTTCATTTTACAACCAAATTGATATCTGCATAACATTTGCGATAAAGGTTCTTACACGTTATGAATTGAGTAAAAATTGTGTAACGTGAATTACAATGAATTTATCTTAATTTTATGATTTTTGAGTTTGTTTTTAAATTCACGTCTTGAATGAATCAAATATTAGTATTTAATAAGACATTCTTAATATACATTTTATGAAAAATATTAGTCGATATTTCATTTATTAAATATTTTTTGACATATATAAATCATATTTGGTCTGTGTTATGTTTGCATATTATATGTAATTGTAAATTGAAGTATTTATAAATATTTTGAATTAAATTATTATTTTTATATTATTTTTTGTTGTTAAGAATTTATTTTTAATACTTTATTCTTGTGTTTATTATATGTATAATAACGTGCTATGATTTTTATACTATATACACAAACAAACAGATGGTGGTGAGGGGAGGAGTACAACAAATATCTTATTTTTTATGGCTTTGTACATGTTTGTAAATACATATGTTTTGTGTACTACTTTAGTGTTATTTTAAATATTTTATACTATATATAATATCGTGTGTTTTATACTGTAGAGAGTTAGTGGGGTACTTAGAAATTTGTTTGGGTTGGACCGTGTTATGCTATGTTAGGCGGATAACTTTACCTTTCATAGATTCAATCTAAATGCATCAACTTTAAATTTTTACCAATTACATGGTTTTTCGGTTTTTGTATTAACTCAATCCAAATTTATATGGAGACCAAATTGGTTCACGTAATGTTAGTAATACAAAAATACGTCAATTTTTTTTTAAATAATGACTAATTTTAGTGATAAAAAATTATTAATTATTATAATAACTAATTTAAATATTAATTTATAAATTAAAGATGATTAATAACTAAAATAGTTTTTAAATTAGTTATTATAGTGAAAAATATTAGTTACTAATATTTTAATTGTTAAAAGGATTTATTTTTAAATTAATCTCTGATTAAGATAAATACAGAGATCAATTTTTTATTGTAGCTAAAATATTGATAACTAATGTTAGTGATTAATTTATAAACTAATTCATGACTAATTTAAAATTTATTTGAGTTCTCAATAACTTTTAGTTTATAAATTGATATTTAAATTGTTTACTATAGTAATTAATTATTTTTTCATTAAATATTATCATTATTTAGAAATTTTCTTATAATATGTTATATATGAGTATTTTGAATTTTCAAAAGATTTATTTAATGTAAATTGGATTAAAACAAGTTTTTATAAAAAAATTATCAAAATAGTTATTGAATTGAAGCAGTTAACTTTTCATATAAATTGAATTTAATCATGATTTGTTGATATTTGCGTATATAACTTACCAGTCAAGTGATGAATATCACTTAAGCAATATTAAAGTGGTGGACATTTATTAAAAATGAGTTCAGAGACAAATAAATTTAAGAAATGGAGTTCATTAAACATTGTGAGAAATATTTTTTCATGAGATACCGAAACAACACATCATTTGGTGTAGATTAATCAAAAGTGTATGCATGTACTGTAGTTCTAAATTGAAAAAGATCAATGCAATTTTTATCTTCTTAATTAAATATTTAAAATAATAATCCATGTAAGGAGAATTAAAGACATTATTAGAGGTATTAAAGATTATTTATTGAAGATTGATGTGAAATTAAAAGAGTGTTATTATAAATTATTAAGCTTACTTTTAATTATTATAATACTGATATTTTAATTTTGAAAATTTTAAATAAAAAAAATTAAACAATTTTAGTTTTAAATAACTAACAACCAATTAAACAAGAAACATATATATGTAAATAAACTATGATTTTTATTAAATGACCAATACACATTGCACCTTAAAGAGAAAAACATAGGGTTTAACTGTTTTTCTATGATCTTTAACTAGACACAGTGCAGGAGCTATAGTGAGAGAATGTGTTGTAGATGGTCAAGCCCTAGCTGGATTCTCAACAATCAGTTCAGTGATGAACTTATTAACATTCTTGGTAGAGGTACCATCCTCCTGTAATGTTTTCCGTGCTAACTCCTTCATTTTCATTGCTCTCTTCTTAAACTCTTCTGCTCTTGGCC